TTCCCTACAGATGACCAAGCTGAAGCCCAGAGAGGGCAAGGAATTTTCCTAAGGTCACACAGCTAAGGAGCAGCACTGGGTTTCAGACCCAGCAGGTCTATCTGCTTCTGAGCGGCAACCTCTTCCCTCTGGGGGTAGATCTCCTGGGTCTCACCTCACTCCTTCCCTGCTGAGCTTTCATTTAGAATTTGATTCCAAGGCCACTCCCTGCTTCCCCTTGAGGAGGTTACACCCTGCTCTATGCTTCCTGGGTTCTTCAGAGCTAATTCTATCACAGGCTTCTTCCCAGTCTCCGTGGCTGGAGTGGTTACGAGTGTGAATTCTGCAGTTTGAATCCAAGCTCTGCCCTTTGCTGTCCTGACCTCTCTGGACCTCAATTTCCCTACCTATAAAATGGGGACAAGGACAGTACTCATCTCATAATGTTCCACGTGGAGGAGGTGAGTTAAACCATGGTATGCACTTTGGGGACTTCCCTGGTGGTCCAGTGGTTAGGACTCCGCACTTTCACTGCAGGGTGCCTGGGTCCGATCCCTGGTCGGGGAACTAAGATCCCACAGGCCACACGATGCGGCCAAAAAAAAAAAAACCAAACCACCATGGGATGCACTTAGATGGTGCCTGGCACACAGAGATTATTCAATGAATATTAGCTATTATTGATGCTCTGATTACCACGCAACCTCTAAACGTAATCCGGCATTTAATCTTGGATGCCCTCCCCTCTGCGCAGCCATGACATACAGCGATATCCCGAGTCCATGAGTCATCCCACCACCCCACTGGGTGTGGAAACTCCATTAGACATGGCTGTCCATCTGCATAGCCTCATCCATTCCCGCAGCTGCAAATTCCCTCCTCCCAGGCGCTCCTTGGAGCTTCAGGACTGCATATCTCATGTCTCCACTTGGGTGTGTCGAACGCATCACTAATGGAGCTCTTAATATTCCCACTCTGGATCCTGTGCGCTCACCCCGCAGAGTTCCCTGGTCCAGTAAAAGGCGGGTCCCCATCCCCTCCCTCCCTCTCTCTCCTCAACCCTCGCACCCAACGCATCACTCGAACCTACCAGCTCAACCCCCAGAATGTAGCTTGAACACCTGCACTTCTCTCAGTCTCCACTGCCACCCTGGTTGAGGCCACCGTCACGTCTGCATAGACCTTCTGGTCTCCCTGCATGCACTCTTACACCTACATCCACCCCTTTGCGGCATCCTGAGCGACTGCTTTGAAAATACACGTGGGGAACTTCCCTGGCGGTCCAGTGGTTAGGACTTTGCGCTTCCACAGCAGAGGGCACAGGTGTGATCCCTGGTCGGAGAACAAAGATCCCACATGCCAGAAGGCGCGCCCCCCCACCCCCCCAAAAAAGAAAGAAAATACACATGTGATCACATCCTCCATAACTTAAAGTGCTTAAAACGCCAAGGGTTTCTGCACATACAATAAAACCCAGACACTGGCCTCATCCCCGATCACTCTCCCCCTGCCTGGCTCACTCCACTCCTGCCAGGCCAGCATTCTTGCCGGTCTCCCAAGGTCCCACCACAGGGCCTTTGCGCATGCTGCTCCCTCTGTCTGGAAGGCTCCTTTAGCTCCCTCCAGGCTCCCCATCACAGCAGACGTCTTTACAATGGACCACAGACCTCACCTCCTGCCATCATCCCCATCAACCACTTCACTTCCGCCCCACTGACCTTACTGCTGTTTCTTGAAACAGCTAAGCACACCCCCACCTCAGGGCCTTTGCATGTGCTGTCCGCTCTCTACAGAACACTCTCCAACCAGATATCTGCATGGCTTCCCCCCCTCTCCTTCTTGAGGCTGTCACTTAAATGGCACTTTCTTAGTAAGTCATCTCTTGACCATCCTATTTTAAATTACAACACTTAGCCCTCCCTTCCCCCTCCCTTGCTGTGCTCATCACTGCTATGTTCCCAGGGGTTAGTACTCATGCCTGCCACACAGCAAACATTTCAGACATGAATTAATGTCTGCGTCTCCAAATTCCATCATCCAGGAAGCCTCAAGAAATTTTGCTTCAGTGGAATGGAAAGTGAGAATTCAACCTTCATAAGCTTCCAGCTTCGTCTCCTGTACACTCTCTCTAGACTTACACAGCTGTCTCTCACTGGTTCATTCATTCATTCAACAAGTATGTAAAAAGTCTCTACTGAGTCTCTACAACATAGATCCCGTGGTAGACAGAATAACACTCCCCAAAGATGTCCAAGCCCTAATCCCCAGAACCTGTGAATATGTTACCTTTCCTGGCAAAAGGGACTGTGCAGATATGATTATGGGTCCAGAACTTGAAATGAAGAGATTATCCTATGTTAATCCAAGTGGACCCAATCTAATCACACAAATCCTTAAACTGAGAGAATCTATCCTGGTTGTAGTGACAAAGATGTAAAGACAAAAGAAGAACCAGAGGGATAGATGCAACACTGCTGGCTTTGAAAATGGAGGAAGGGGCCATGCACTAAGGAATGGAGGGACCTCTAGAAGCTAGAAAAGGCATGGGAACGATCCTCCCCTCGAGCCTCAGAAGGAACACAGCCCTGCTGACACTTTGATTCTAGCCAGTGATACCCATGTGGGACTTCTGACCTCCAGACCTGCAAAATAATAAACTTGTGTTGTCTAAGCCCCTAATGTGTGGCGGTGTTATGGCAACAACGGAAACTGACACAGCCAAACACAAGACAGCTAAAAGTCTAGCAGAGACGACGTGCCCTAAACAGGCAATGCAATTTTCTCAACTCCAGCCTCTGCTCCTCTGAGAAGCCCCTTCCTCCTGGTGTCTGCTGGTGAAAATGACACCATCTCTTCTGCAAGGTCTTTCCCAATTGCTCTACTAGAAATAATCACTCCGTCCCTGGGATCCTGCAGCTGTTGCTCATTTACGGTAAATAACTTTTAACAACCAATGTTTTGCGGTTTTAAATGATTTCACACACATTTTGCTCGTTGGATTGGGACCTGAGGTCACCCAGCTCGTTGTTCTAATCCCAGCGCAGCCACAGCTGGAACCCAGCGAGCTGTACTACAGAATTCACTCTTGCAATGACTTCAGTTATTCCAGAATCTTTTCCAATCCAGCGAGCAAACTGTGCGCGAAATCGTTTAAAATAGATCTCAATAATGGCTCCTGAGTTAAAGTTTAATTTCTCTGAGCCTCATTTTTCCCCCACCTGAAACACAGGGGCAACACCAGGACCTATGTCACCCAGTTGGAATCATGCGTGCCTGGCACAGGGAGCTCTCCTTGACTCTTTCCAGGGACCTTGGAACTCCGGTTTTCGTTTTTTCCGGAGGAAGAAACTGAGGTTCAAAGAAGCAGTCATTTTTTTCAAGGCCACCTTGCTAACGAGGATAGGAATTCCTGTCTGTCGTTTCCCCTCTCCCCACGCCACACCGCACCTCCCTTCAAGTCTTCCCATTACTAAGGTTGTACACGTTACCCCTGAGATTTCCATCGTGCAATTCCTAGTTCTGTATTTATTTGTGCCTCGCGCCCAGCATTGGACCTCTCCGCCACGAGGGGGCGCTACGGGATAAGGGAGGTGGCGCCGGGCTGCAGAGAACAAAGGCTCAGAAATCCTGGCCACACTGCACCGAGGAGCATCATCTCTGGAAACTGAGCCCTAACTCACAGCTCGGGTGCCCCCCACCCCAAATCTCCGTACCTCCAATGCCTGCTCCGCGCCCCCCTACCCTCCCCGGCGTAACGAGACCAGACCGAGGCAGACGCCACTCTGCGGGGTCACCGCCCGCTTCACCCGCTTTTATTGCCGCGGCGTGGGCCAGCCAGCCAATCAGGAGGCGCACCGCGCCTGTGACGTCACACAGCGCGGGGCGATTGAAGTCTGCCCTGCCCGCCCCTCCATCCGAGGCCCCGCCCCTCTCGCAGAGGCCCTCGGAGTGTGCATGCGTGTTGAGCGTGTGAAAAAGGCGGGAAAAGGCGCGAGGGGCGGGGTCCTGCGGAGAGGGAGCAGAAGCGACGACACCTGGGCGGAGAGAGCGGTCTTCGCGGGGGGACGGGGTCGGCAGAGCCGGCGGAAGAAGCCGCCACGCGGGAAGTGGTAGGATGGAGAGTCAGCGAGAAGGATGAGAAGACGGAGAAAGAGCTGAGGGGAGAACCGACCCTGGGTGGGGGGGAGGTTGAGTGGGAAACGGAGCGGAGGGCGCGGCGGTGAGAGTGAAAGAAAAAGGAAGACTCAGGGTAAAGAAAGAGAAACTGGCCGTGAAAAACAGGGAGAAACAGCGGTGACGGGGTGTGGACTTGGAGAAAAAATGAGAAAGATGGTGAGCGAGGCTGACGAGGCATAGAGACGAGGAGGGGCAGAGAAAGAGAAAGAAAAAAGAGACACGGAGCTGAAAAGATAAACCGACCGTGAAAAATAGCGAGAAACAGAGACGATGAGCGTGAGAAACTGAAAATGTCAATAAAAAGAGGAGGACACAGGAGAAGAGATGAAGAGAAACTGGCCATAAAGTACAGGGAGCAATAGATACGGGTTGGGGGTGGGGGAGTGAGAAATGGAAAATGAAAGAAAAAAGAGCCAGACGCAGAGGGGAAAAGATAGAGAAGCTGACTGTGGGGAAATAAAGAGAGAAATAGAAATGATGGGAGTATGGACTTGCTAAGGAAAGAAAAACTTAGAAAGGTGATGAGAAAGAAATGGGCGGTGGAAAAAAAAGTGAGATGAGGAGGGTGAGAAATTGAAAGGGAAAAATAAATAAATAAAAAATTTAAAATAAAATAAAAAATAAAATAAATTCCTTTGGGACTCCCTGGCGGGTCTCGTGGTTAAGACTCTGCGCTTCCACTGCAGGGGGCATGGGTTCATCCCTAGTCAGGGAACTAAGATTGCGTGTGCCACACGGGCGAGGCCAAAAAAAGAGAGAGAGAGAGAATGTGAGAAACAGGAGCAGAGGGTGATCAAGAGAGACCCTGAGCACGGATGGGACAGAGATCTCTCTCTCTCTCACACACACACACACACACACACACACACACACACACACACAGGAAGGTAGAGAAATGGGCAACATCTGAGGGGGGGTCAAGGCCCCGGGGGTCAAGGTCAAGGCCAAGGTCAAGGCCCCTGGCAGCAGAGATGGAAGGAGGGAAGCAGGCGACAGCGAGACAGAGGTGGAGGGGCAGAGAGGGACAGAGCTGAGGGGCTGGAGGCTGCTCCCTGGCCAGAGGAAGGGGGTCCGGCTGAGGACAGAACCCTCGACCTGGATGTCCCCACCCCACCTCTGAGCCACAGCCCGACCCTGACCAGAGCGTGAGCTGGGAGAACAGGTTTGAGGGGCTGGGGTGGGGAGACAATGTGGTGACAGGGTGGGCCTCGGCTGTGAGGTCTGGGGGGATTTCCGTCCAGGCTCCGGATCGAGGGGCACAGGCTCCCAAGGCCCCGGTTGGTTTACAGGAGGACTGTGGGCAGGGGCTTTGCTGAGCCTGGTCGGATTATCCTTATCCGCAAATCACAGCGCAGGGGGTGGGGATGGGGTCTCCTTTAGGCTCTGGAGGACAGTGCTACTGCTGAGTCCAAGAAGGGAATGTTCTTAGAGTCTCTGGAGCCGAGGAAAACCTGTCTGGGGTCTCTGAGACCCAGGCCAGCTCATTTAGGAGGATCTTACTGGAAGCCCGGCAGGGAGGTGCACAGAGGTTTATGGAGGGCCCCTCCCCACCCCGGCCATGCCCCTCACCTGAGCTTGGAAGGCGCCTCGTCGCTGGGGAGGGGGCCCCTGTGCTCCCAGCCGTGCCCCAGGGTAGAGTGTGTGCAGGCACCGCTGCAGCGGCGGTCCCCTTGGCCAGGTCCTCTCCTGAGGTGGGGTCCCAGGTCCAGGGGGGGTAGTCTTCCTCATCTGCATAGCCTTGGGAGAAATTGGGGAAGGGGACAGCCCCGACCCGTCTCAGAGGTCCCTGCTGTTGCTCCGAAGTCCCCTTCCCGCATCTCCTGGAGTGACTCTGGGTCCCCACCCCCATGCCACCCTGACTCCTTGGCCACTGACCCCCCCGCCCCCCGCCGTACCAGTGCAGGTGAGCCCCACGTCCTCCTCGTGGTCGCAGTTGTGCTGTCCCCACGCCCTAGCGGGGCAGTCGCTCAGCGAGGCCTCACTTCCCTTGCAGCCCACGTCATCCAGCCAGATGGGCCCGGTGCCAGGGCCGTAGTGGGTTTTGCCCACTCGGGGCCGAACCCTTCCGCAGCCCAGCTCCCAGCAGGCCACCATGCCATCCCGCAGGTCCCAGCTGTCATCACACACTGTCCCCCAGCGTCCAGCGTGCCACACCTCCAGCCGCCCGGCACACCGGTTGGGCCCATCAGCCAGACGAACCCGGAACAGGCCTGCTGGTAGACAGCCCAGATCAGGAGGGGTCAGCAGGGGTTAGGAGGGGTCAGCCTCACCCTCCACATTCCTTCCTCTCACCTGATGCCCCAGTGGGGGAGGGGGCTGGGTCTTTGGAGGACTCTGGAGTACCTACTCCTGGGATCTCGGCCGATGGCTCCATGGTGGCCTCAGAGGTCAGTTCTCGGGGGCCCTGGGTGGTCGGTGTTGCCAGGGTCTTAGAGGTCCGTTCCCGGGGGACCCGGGGAGTCCGCCTTTCGGTGGTGTGTGAGGTCAGCCTGTGAGGGTCCTCCGTGGTCAGCCTGGTGGTAAACTCGGAGGTCGGTCTTCGGGAGGCCTCAGTGGTCGGAGTGGTGGTGGTCAGTGAGGTCAGTTCTGGGGGACTCTGGGTGCCCGTGGCCCTGGAGTGCTTAGTGGTTGGTATCACGGCGGGCTGAGTGGTCGGTCTCTTTGCGTTTTTGGTCACCCACTTCTTTGTGCTTTTGGGTATCTTCCCTGGGGCCTTGGTGGTGGTTTTCTCAGGAACGCCGGGGGTCCGCCTCGCAGAGGGCTTGGTGGCCAGCTCCCCCGGGAGCCAGGCATCTGGGTCTCTACCCAGGCCAGGGATCCAGCTCCAACTGAAGGGGTCTGAGATGGAGTCCAGGCCGGGGGTCCCTGGCAGACAGGAGGGGAGGACAGGGGAGACAACAGACACCGTGATTGTTCTCTCTCATCTCCCCTTACAGACAACCACCAAGTTCCCATGCATTCATTCACATCATAGACGTTTACAAAGCATCTCCTACGAGCCAGGCCCTGTGCCAGGCCTGGGGCATACGGTGGCCAGCCACAGCCGGCACCATCCCACCTCTGGGCACTTACAATCATGATGTGACTGCCCCCCTTCACCCCATCACACTGACCCATCCTCTCTGCCATCTGCCCAGCCACTGCCTGGCTTCCTGTACCCTCTGACTGGTCTTCCCCCACACCCAGTGCCCAGCTCTCACCGCCCCACCAGGGTGGTACCAGGCCACTGCTCAGCTCAAAACCCTTCTGTGGCTCCCATGGCCCTCAGGAGGGGAGGGAAAGGGGAAAGTGCCTTAGCTTCAGGCAGAATGGTTGACTCCATCCTCCCAGCTGCCACGGCTCACCTTACATCTTTCTGATCAGCACAGGGAAGGTGGCAGACACCATGGGCGATGCCAAGGGTTACTGATGCAGGACAAGGGTTAATCTTGTCCAAAGAAAGCTTTTGCCCTTTGCCCCAGGCTGCCGGGGGGAAGCTCCAAGCCCTTTCAACGTCCTGCCTGGTAAGAGTGTGTTGTATCCCTGTGGGGCCAGAGCCACCTAGATCACCTCTGCTAACACTGTGACTTAATGGGCTGCCAGTGGGCCACCAGCCACATCTCATGACTGAGCTCCTAAAAACACTTTGACGCCAAGGCTGGGAGATCGTCCCTGGTTGGCAATACCTCACGTGCGTTGTCATGCGTCGTTGCTGGGAGAATTAAGTGAGGAAGCTCCACAGGGGTCTCTCCTGGACCCAGCCCCACATGGCTCTTCCCTCAACTGACTTTTTAAATGTTTTGGCTGCGTTGGGTCTTCGTTGCTGCGCTCGGGCTTTCTCTAGTTGCAGCGAGCAGGGGCTACTCTTCGTTGTGGTGCGCGGGCTTCTCATTGCGGTGGCTTCTCTTCTGGCGGAGCACAGGATGTAGGCGTGCGGGCTTCAATAGTTGTGGCTCGCAGGCTCAGCAGTTGTGGAGCGCGGGCTTAGCTGCTCCACAGCATGTGGGATCTTCCCGGACCAGGGATTGAACCCGTGTCCCTTGCATTGGCAGGCAGATTCCTAACCACTGTGCCACCAGGGAAGTCCTGATATGGACCATTTTAAAAGTCTTTTTGCGGTACGCGGGCCTCTCACTGTTGTGGCCTCTCCCGTTGCAGAGCACAGGCTCCGGACGCGCAGGCTCAGCGGCCATGGCTCACTGGCCCATCCGCAGCACGTGGGATCTTCCCGGACCGGGGCGCGAACCCGTGTCCCCTGCATCGGCAGGCGGATTCTCAACCACTGCGCCACCAGGGAAGCCCAAAAGTCTTCATTGAATTTGTTACAACACTGCTTCTGTTTTATGTTTTGGTTTTTTGGCTGCGAGGCATGTGGGATCTTAGCTCCACAACCAGAGATTGAACCTGCACCCTCTGCATTGGAAGGCGAAGTCTTAACCACTGGACCGCGAGACAGCTTTTCTGATTGTTGTGAATCCTTCTAGAAAACTATGGAACCCGAGGGTGGTCTTGGGGACCTCCCAAATGATAATGTGTCACACGGGTTTGCAGCGATTTGCCGGGGCGTCTCTTTCTCACAGTGAACTGTGAGCCTCTCAAAGGCCAGGATCGCGTTCGTTGCATTCTGAGGACCCAATACCTAGCTCAGCCTCTGGCGCTGGATAAACAACGGCAAATGAATGAACACGGGCCAAGCCTGAGTCCACTTCAAGTGGCCCTCCCGCCACACGGGCTTCTTGCCATCTCCTGGTGCCCCATGCCTGCTTCCTTTCCTCTTCCTTTTCAGCTTCCCTCTAGGTGGGAGACTTCCTTGATTCTTGGTGGGAAGAAAAGGAGGAAGAATCCCAGCTGTGCCGCTTACTTGCTGTGTAACCTCTCTGTGCCTCAGCGTCTTCATCAGTGAAATGGGCATAACATCCACCAATTTGGACGTATCGTGAGGTGTGAATACGGTCACGGGCGGGGGCTTAGGAGGTGAGCGCTCAATCGATGTTAGTGCCAACGTTAGTTCCCGTTCCCTCCTCCAGGAAGCCTTCCTGGAGCCAGCGAATGGCCAGGGCCTCCTTACCAGTGCAGGTAACTCCAACGTCCTCGTTGTGAGCACAGTTGTGCTTCCCCCAGGGAGCGGCAGGGCAGTCGGCGAGGGAAGCCTCGGTCCCCACACACCTCACGTCGTCCAGCCAGATGGGGCCGGCGCCCCAGCCGAAGCGGCCGGCAGCAGGGTCTGGCTGCCGAGGTCCACCGCAGCCCAGCTCCCGGCAGACCACAGCCGAGTCCCGCAGGTCCCAGCTGTCGTCACACACGGTCCCCCAGCGCCCACCGTGCCACACCTCCAACCGGCCTGAGCACCTGCTGGGCCCGGCCACCAGGCGCAGCTGGGGGGACCCTGGGGTGGGAGAGACCCAAAGAATTCGAGTCAGACATTCCTCCACCTTCGCTCCATCTTCCTTCCATTCATCCACCCTCCCTTCCCAGCAACAAGTGTTTATCCAGGCCTGTGCTGTGCCATTGTCTGCATCAGGCACAGGAATAAAGAGTCAGGGATAGGGAATTCCCTGGTGGTCCAGTGGTTAGGACTCCGTGCTTTCACTGCCGAGGCCCGGGTTCAATCCCTGGTTGGGGAACTAAGATCCCGCAAGCCTCGCGGCACGCCAAAAAAGAAAAAAAAAAAAAAAAAGTCAGGGATAAAGAGTGGTTCCTTGGAAAGCTCAACTCAGAATTGCCATATGATCCAGAAATTCCACTCCTAGGGATATACCCAAGATAAGGTGAAAATGGGCATTCAGTCAGATACCTGTATGCAAACATTCACAGCAGCATTATTCACAATAGCAACAATGTGGAAACAACCCGAGCGTCCATCAATGGACGAATGGATAAGCAAAATGTTGTCCATCCATATGATGGAATACTATTCAGCCGTTACAAAGAAAGAAATTCTGACACACTCCACAATATGGATGAACTTGGAGAACATCATGCTCTGTGAAATAAGCCAGACACAAAAGGTCCAATACTATACGATTCCATTACACACAGCGCCTGGTTGGCAAATTCACAGAGACAAAAAATCAAATGGTGTGTGTGCCAGGGGCTGGGGAGATGGGGGGGAGGGTAGTGAGTGTTTAATGGGTCTGGGGTATCTGTTCGGGATGATGAAAAAGTTCTGGAGATGGTGGTGGTGATGGCTGCACAACATGATGAGTGTGTTTTTTACGACTAAACTATATGCTTTAAAATGGTTAAAATGGGACTTCCCTGGCAGTCCAATAGTTAGGACTCTGTGCTTCCACTGCAGGGGGCGCAGATTTGATCCCCGGTCGGGGAAGTAAGATCCGCATGCCGTGCAGCACAGCCAGAAAAACAAAAAATTGTTAAAATGGTCAATTTTATGTTGTGTATATTTTACGATAATTTTTAAAAAATAAAGAAAGTGGGCTGTGGAACAAATTGCCTTCATTTGAGTCCTGGCTTTCTGACTTTTTAGCTGCGCGGCCTCATTTGTAACGTGGAAACCACACGGTACCTACCCTGCCAGTGGCTGGTAGTTTTACCTGATGAAGGGGCCTGGAATGGCACTGGTCATGTGAGCTAGTGACAGCTGAGTCTATGGCAGTTGTTATTATTATTATTATTATTATTATTCAGAAAAAGGGGAAGCAGGCCTCAGCTAATAGTGTTCAAGTTCCCACTTTTTCAGCCTTTGGCAACCTTGAGGAGATGGCTGTATTAATCATGGCTTTTTATTTGCGGTATCTGATGCTTTGACATCTTGGGGCCTTGCTGACACCGGAGGGATTGCTGATTCCCAGAGACAGGAAACCACTGGAGTGTGCCCTTCATATGAAACCAGCCCACCCAGAGCCCTCACCCACCACCTTGTGTCAGGTTCACACTCCCCGGCCACCATCCACCTGCCCCATCTCCCCAGGGCATGTACCCGACAACCAGGAGCAGCGCCTATGCTCCAGAACCCGCCGAAATGATGCAAACCAGCCCATCCAGAGTCAACTCACCCTGCCTTGTCCATTCCTCCCCCATGAAGCCACACTCCAGGCTTTGCCCACCGTCGCCCCTCGCTCCCTCTGTCTCCTGCTGGACCCTGGTGCTTCCCGTGTGGCCCTGCGTCGTGTGTGGGCTGTGCCCCCTCCTCTTGGGAATTGTGAGAAACCAACTATCTCTGCAGTGACAGTGGTCTCACCTGTTGGCCGCACCACACAGCATGTGGGACCCTAGTTCCCCAACCAGGGATCGAACCTGTGCCCCCTGCAGTGGAAGCGCAGAGTCTTAACCACTGGACCGCCAGGGAAGTCCCTAAAGCCTGTATTTTAAAACAACATCACTGACTAGTTCTTACGATACTTGCGAGAAGGAGGTGGCCTTGTGAGTTTCAAGACAGCCGGAACAGAGCATTAGACCAAGCAGGGGCCTTCTGAGTGTGGGCTCCGTCTCCTCCCGTCCACCCTTCCCTCTCCCCGAGACCTCTGAAGCAGTGAAGGAGGCACCTGGGGGCTGTGGGGAGTGGCGGAGGGGCAGGAAACAGAAGCTAAACCCCTACTCAGCGACAAAAAAGAACAAAATAATGCTGTTTGCAGCAACACGGACGGACCTAGAGATTGTCATACAGAGTGAAATAAGTTAGACACAGAAAGACAAATATCAGATGATATCACTTATATGTGGAATCTAAAAAAGGGGGTATAAATGAACTTATTTACAAAACAGCAGTAGAGTCACGGATATAGAAAACAAACTTATGGCTACCAGGGGATAAGGGGAGGGAGGAATAAATTGGGAGCTTGGGATGGACATATACACACTACTATATATAAAAGAGGTAATAAGGCCCTGCTGTATAGCACAGGGAGCTCTACTCAATACTCTGCAATGGCCTACATGGGAAAAGAATCTTAAAAAAAACAGCAGCAGCAGCTAAGCCCCACATTTGGGGTGTGGGGAGCTGGAGGGACTCACCAGCTTCCGGCCCAGGCTCCTGAGGGGCCGCAGGGGAAGCGGGCGGAGGTGAAATGCCTGCTATCTGCGCAGCCTGGCTCACCGTCGGGGTCGGGGGCCTGGATGCAGTTTCCCTGGGCCTGGAGCTGTTGCTGCCCACCGCGGGGGCCGTGGGAGGGACATATCCCAGAGGCATACCTGGGGCGTGAGAGGGAAGAGGTGACCACCACCCACTGTTGTGCTGCAGGCAGTTCCCCACACCTGCCATCCCAGGACCCCTGATGGAGACTGAGGTTTCACGATGAGCAAGACATGCGGCAGGTGGGATGCTGGGCGGAGGGAGTGCGGGGCCCTGGGGTACACCTCCGGAAAACACACGAGACCCCCCAGCTCTCACCCCTCCATTCGAGGGCCCCCGCCCTGACCTCTCCCCCAGGGCCCCCTCACCGTCACACACGGCCCCAGCGTCCTCCCGGTGATGACAGTCATGCTGGCCCCAGGGCCGCGCCGGGCAGAAGCGCAAGGCCGTCTCGTTTCCCCGACAGCGAAGATCGTCCAGGAGGATGGGTCCAGCACCCTCCCCGAAGAAGGCGCCTCCAGGGGCGGCCAGCGCGCCCCCGCAGCCCAGCTCGCGGCAGGCCACGGCGGCGTCCCTCAGGTCCCAGGCATCGTCACACACAGACCCCCAGCGCCCGCTGTGCCACACCTCCAGGCGGCCTGCGCACCCGTGGGGGCCGTCTGCCAGACGCAGCCTGGGGGCCGGGCCTGGACGTGGGGAGAGGGAGAACAGAGAGATGGGAAACTGTGACGGATGAGCAGCTTTAGGCCACGCACGCAGGAAACTGTGATGGACGAGCAGGTACTGAGCTATGCACGCCGGTGACTAGGATGGATGTGCAGGTACAGGCCACGTGCTCAGGTGACTAGGATGGATGAGTGGATATAAGCCTCATGCTCAGGTGACTAGGATGGGTGAGCAGGTACAGGCCACATGCTGGAGTGACTCGGATGGATGAGCAAGTACAGGCTATGGGTGGTGTCCCGCTTCACGCCCAAGATGGGGCTGGAAAGCAGCCATTCCATCTTCAGTTTGCAAGTGAGGAAAAGACTCTGAGCTGGGAAGTCGCTCTCCAAGAGTCCGACTCTGGTCTATCCACTGCCCCCCATGTCCCTGCCTCCCCAGGGACGAGCCCTGGGGACGCCGGCCCTGATGCCCTCCACCCACCTCCCCAGGCAGGTCCCCACTCCCCAGCTGCCTTCTCCAGCCTATAAAGCAGGGCTTCTCAGCCTTAGCGCCCCTGACACGGGGGTCAGGTCATTCTCTGCTGTGAGGGGCCGTCCTGTGCACAGTAGGATGTCCAGCAGCATCCCTGGGCTCCACCCCCCCAGATGCCGGCAGCACCCCCAGTGCCCCACACAGTCATGACAACCAGAAATGTCTCCATGCCATCCGGGGAGTGCGGTTGAGAACCACTAGTCTAGATGTTAACCTCTTGTTGGTTTGGGGGTACATTTCTGTTGGGTCTTTGTGGGGTGAGAGTTGGGTCACCTCTGGGGAGTGTGGAGTCCATCTCTCTAGCCTGCAGTCGGTGTCTGGAGAAAAGGACAGGCCAGAGAGGGTGAGATACTCCTGCCTGCATCACCCAGCTGTGAGTGACGTGCTCCCTCACGGGGCTGCCCTGAGGAGCAGAGATGTTGGTGAGACACCAAAAGCCCCCGGACCCCTCAGTGGGGTTCACTTCATCTCCCCAACAACTTTTTCTCCCGCTGGAGACTCAACTCGCCTCCTGGGAACTGGGCTTCAGAGGCCCCATTTCTGCCCCCACGTGCTTCCCACCGACGAGGTGCCACCGTCACTGCCTCTGGTCCACCAATCTCTGCCCCGACCTGTGTCCCCTTGGTCTCCATCCCCGCCACACCCTACACGCTAGATACCCAGATCCATCTGTGCAGCGGGACACACACGGCAGTCAAGTTCCGGGTCATCTGCTTTACATCTTTGAGCCTCTGTCCTGCATCCGTGAAGGGTGGGGCGAGGACATCCACCCAGGAGGCCAGGCAGATGCGGGTGAGGCCCAGAGCCGGCTCCCAGCTTTCTCTGTAGCTCCCTCTCCCCTTTTCCATCCACCAACTGAAACATTTCCTGCCCCCTGTGTCGGTAGGCGGGCAGGCTCCTCTAGTGGGTGCAGCCCTTGAACTTTCCCACCCCACACCTGTGGGCCACCCCTGCCTCCTAAAAGTCAGGAGAGCGAGAACTGGGTCTGCACCCGGTGTGGATGGGGCTTAATGAGTAAGTGTGAAAAGAAGAAAGGAGGGAGAAAAGGAAAGGAGGAAGGGAGGAAGGAAGGGAGGGAGGGGGGAGGGAGGAAGGGGGAGAGAGG